ACTGTGAAGTTGGAGTTCCCGTGCGCCCACCAGCTCAAGTCGTGCGTGATCGCATTGGGACAGAAGCAGACTGTCTCTGGCCACGTGAAGTCGTTCGTGGAGGCCCTGACGTCTTACCAACACGCAGCCACGCGGGAGAACCGTCTGGCGGCAGCGCGCAGCATCATGGGGATGACTACCACCTACAAGGACTTCGGCGTGCGTGAAAAGAACTCTGAGCTCGAGGACGCGATCTATGGATATGTGACACAGGCGCTCGCCCACCTTGGCAAGGGCGAGGACACCCATCTGATAGAAGCCACCTGCAACTTCATGATGACTCAGTGCCAGGTCTGCTCTGGCCTGATCGGGATCATCACGGACCTCTCCACGGAAGGGAAGAAGAACAAGATGGCTGTGGAGGCCTTGGCCAATTTGCATTGGGAGCTCGCGAGCATCTACAACTACATGGCCTCAGGCAACGACATGCCGAGCCGCGCGGCCAACGACAACGCCTCCGAGGGCCTGAAGCGCTTCGTGATGGGGAGGGCTGCCATGAGTCAGGTCAGGGGGGGGGCTCCAGGTCGGGTGAGCCCTGGCCCAACCAGATCAACGCTGTAGACTCTGACTGTCTTGGAATAGGTGGGTGGGGAGAAGAGGGGCACGCAGTTCAGAGGTGGGTTGAATGAGGAGGGAGAGTGGTGATAGGTAAGGAGGACAGGTAGGACAAAGGACGAGCGAGGGGAGAGCGATGTTGAGGAGAAGGGCGAGCAAGTTATGGGATGCAGTCGGGGGTCGAGGAGTGGGGCCCTTCTCAGGGATGTCTTCAGCGTTGCCTGGTTGGGTAAGGGTTTGCGGCCAACTGAAGCCCCCCCCAAAAAGGCAAAGGACACGATTGGCCTCGAATTCTTCGACCGCTGGGTGGAAGAGCTCTCCACGTTTGCAGCGGAGGCGGGCGACTTGCATTGCAGCTCTGCCCTTGACTCGGCAGCCAAGGCCGTCGGCAAAGTGGCGCGCAGCATGATCTTCGGCTGCGACGATGGTTTATGGCACGATGGCCTCGAGACGGAATGCGGCCTCGAGGGCTACCTCCAGAGGGCATCTGCGTCGCTGTTCGTCAACTGCCGCCCGAGCAGCCTGAAGAGCGAGATTGACCTGGTGGGCTCCAAGGTTTCGGCGGCGAAGGCCGCCATCCAGCTCCACGGCGACACCGACCTCGCGCGCGCCAGCGCGATGCTTGAGATTGAGGGCGCGCTCGACCGCATGAAGATCACCTACTTCGAAGGAATGGCCCTCGTGATGCTGCGGGACAATGCATCGGCGCCGCTGAAGCTCAAGCGGGGCCTTAAGACGTTGTTCGCAGGCCTCCCCGAGCAGCTCGTGGCGCACGTGCCGAAGACGCTCCTGGCTGAAGCCCAGGACAAGGCTGGCCTGAAGAAGTGAACGCCCTGGCGCTGGCTGTCACGCGCCTCCTCCTCCTCTTCCTCTCCGATCTCTCCTGTCCTCCTCCTCCTCCTCCGCCTCCTCCTCCGCCTCCTCCTCCTCCTCCTGCAGGCGCCCTCTGCCCGAGAGAGCCAGCGCGATGAGGTCGGTCTTCGCGCGATGAAGATCGCGCGGCACAGCCGCAACCCGCAGCCCCCCCCCCAGGGAAGATAGAGGTGAACCCGACGAGCACCCCCCAACACTGCGAAACATCATCAAACCATGTTTGTAGTGAATGCTGCGGGTTCGAGATTTTTTGGTGGCACGTACGCGCCTGTTCCGTAGTAGAGGCCACGTAGGTGGCATCATACAAGCCACCGCCACTGTCATATCGCCATCCCTGCCACTGTCCTCCTCATCCTCTTCCTCCTCTCCTGTGTCCCGCTTCGTGGTTTTACGTTGCTCGCTGCATGGCCTAACTTGTCTAATTGCCAGGTTCGTTCATTCGAGTCCCCATGCGTACACAGAAGGGGGTCGCCAAACCCTTCCCTGGCATGGTTTTGGGCAGGGGCCTGTCCACGCCTCTGGCTAAATCGAGGGGAAGAAAACGATAGCGAGGGTGGATGAATGATGGGCGGACGGGGGGAACTAAGAGCCAAGGTACGGGAGGGGATACAAGGAAACGACTGGAGGGGTGAGGAGAGTAGACAACGCTGAGGGCCAACAAAATATGGGGCGGAAGGGCTGAATATTCACACGGCAGCGCGAGAACGAGGGACTGGGCACGGTGGGGGGGGTGCACGCGAGAGGGAAAGGAGCGTTAATAGATGGGCGATACGGAAGAGGAGGAGGACAGGGAGGAGGAGGAAGATAATGACAAGGAGGACAGTGCGGAAACGCCGACTGCGCCGTGTCTCCCGCCATGCCGCGACAATCCTTGATCGCTCTGCCTCCACATCAGCCCCCTCTCCTTCCTCCTCCTTCTCGCCCTATTAGCCTCGAACAAAGTCGGTCCCGATGTTCGGGATCGCGCGCCTTTGCACTATAGCCTAACGGCTCTTGGGTAGCGGGGCCGTTTACACATCAACCGAAACAAGCATTTTGGCGACCATTCGAGATACTATTTTTTTTTCGTTTGTTTTGGGCGACCATTTGGGCGACCATTTGGGCGATCATTTTTTTTCGGGCGACCATTTGGGGAACCATCTGGGGAACCATTTGTGAACCATTTCGGCGTTCCCAGCCCTGTGCGCCACATGCCCATCACAAGCCGAGAGAACGACTGACGTCCTACCCCTCCCTCCCATCCCTCACCATAGCGTAGATCTCCTTATTCGTACAGTCGGATGTCGTAGCAGGCATAGCATTAAATGGCATCGCATGGTGTTGGAGATCAACGCGTAGCCTGACATAGCATGGCGTGGCGACGCCCCAGATTGAGGGGGCTTCTGCGGCCCAAACAATCAACGAACGGACACCGAATGTGTAATCACTTCCGATGGTATGTCGGGTGTCATTTTGTAGATTTTAGGGGGCCTAGTTGGAAGGACCGAAAACCATGCCGTAGCATGGCGCTGGAAATGATGCCGCCTTCGCTGCAGCGAGAACACGATTCGGAACGAGCGGAAGCGCGGCGGAAATGACGCCAGCGCTGCAGCGAGAGCACGATTCGGAGGACGCGTCGCTTGACATAGCATGGCGTGGCGACGCCCCAAAGTGTTGGGGGGGCGTCTGCGACCCCACAAATCAACGAAGCGACACCGAATGCGGAATCACTTCCGATGGTTTTTGGGGGCTGGCATTTTTCTGATTTTAGGGGCCTCTTGGGAAGGACCGAAAACGATGCCGTGGCATGGCGCTGGAAATAATGACGCCAGCGCTGCAGCAGGAGCACGATTCGGAAAGCGCGGCGGACATGAGGCCAGCGCCCTAGCGGGAGCACGATTCGGAACGAGCGGCAGCCCGAAAATGAGGCCAGCGCGTCAGCGGGAGCAACCTTCTGAAAAAGCAAGCGACAACCCGTTTCCCAGGAGTTCTGTGTGCAAGTAATCAGTGCACGGAGGGGGGCCGAACATTTCCCAGACGTCACCAGGGGGAGAGAGGTCGCCCTCAGGGGCGCGAAGAGGTTCGCGCCTCGCGCACGTGCGGCCTGGGCTGGGGAGGCACACTCTCCTCCAGGGTGGAGGCGCAGGTGCGCGAAGACAGGCGCGCATCGCGGGGCGCGACGCGCGAAGGGAGGCGAGCGGCGCAGAGAAATGGGTTCGTCCGTGCCCGCGTTCGCGCGCAGGCTCAGGGGGCCGCAGGCGAACCCTGCCCCCTGTCCTCCACGATTTCTAGGGGGTAGGGGGTAGGCTTCGCACGTGGCCCCCTACCCCCCACGACTTCTGGGGGGTAGGGCGGGGCTCACTTCGCCCTCTCAGGAAGCGTAGGGGGCCACAGGCGAGCCCCACCCCCTGCCCCCCACGATTTCTGGGGGGCAGGGCGGGGTCCGCTTCGTTCGGGAGCTCCCGAGCGAAGTGACCCCCCCCCCCCCTCAGGAATCGTGGGGGGATAGGGGGTAGGCTTCGCACGTGGCCCCCTGAGCTTGCGCGCGTAGGGTCGTGCGTGAGCGCCCTGGTCTCCAAGAGATCGTGCCGCCGTGGCGGCCCGCTGAAGCCACCGCGCAGGATCGCGGGGCCACCCTGCGCAAGGCTTGCTGCTTCTCGCTGCTCCGGTGATGAGCACTTGGCAACGCTCGGACGTGTGCGTTTTTTCCTCGGCGAGGACCATCGAGGAGCATCCTTGATCATTTGGCGAACATGCCACGCACGAAACCGAAAAAAAGCAGGGAATGGACGTCCGAGCGATAGCCAGAGCATGAGTTACCTATTTCGGGGGCCCCCAAACGGGGTGGTGACCACACCGTGGTTGTGAGTCGATGGGGATTCGGGGTCACCGCACGGTTTTGGGACTCGGGTCGTTCTCCGAGGACGTCTCGGGCGACTGGGGCATCCGAGGTCCCAAAACCGTGCGTGGACGGACCGTGCGGTGAGGTCTTGGGGGATTTCGAGGTCACCGCACGGTCTGTCACCGCACCGTTTCGGGACTCCAAACTATTGCAGGTCGGCTTGTGCGCTGTTCCCGGTTTGCCCAGTGGCGTCTTGAGTCGCGATGTGGTATGGTCACCAGGGTTGTCTTGCGAGGAAAAATGGCAGAAGGCCCGTTGAGGTTCCTCGCTCCGGAACAGGGAATATCACACATGATGCATGGCAGCCAGAAAACCTCATACGTTTTTTTTATGGCAACGGTTAGTCACACTGGGGCGGCAAAGAGTGGGGTGATGACTAGTGGGGGGGGGATATCATGGCGGGGGCCATGATATTTCCCCAGATTTCGTGGCACCTCTTCTTGCTTCATTACGTTCCTGGTCCCCCCGCTGGGCCGCGCACATGCCGCCGGTCATGAGTTGCACCCCCCTCTCTTGGACACCCCCCTCTTGGCCGCTCCCGATAAGCAGAAACAAAAGCGTGCTGCATTCCATGTCAGGATCCCGCCACCCTGTTTGCGCCGTGGCTGGCCGCCGCCCACCGCCGCCGCGCGCCACTCGGCCGGCCGGAGACAGGACGAGCAGCACGGCTAGCGCTCTGAGGGGGCCCGCGGGGCTCGCCGCGCTCGGGGCGGGCCTCCGCCGCTAGGCGCACTTGGCAGCAAGTCGGTGGGAGCCTTGCGTGGCCTCGTAGTTCTGTCTTTCGAGTGCAGCAGCGTCGTGGAGGACGAGCAATGGAGAGGAAACATGCTGCCAGATAATTTACAGATGTCGAAAACATGTTTCAAGCACGGTTAAGATATGTGTTCCACATGTTTGAAACATGTGTAGAACATGTTCTACACATTTTAACCACATCTTTAATTCAATGATAGGACTGTGAGAGTGTCCATTGTCATGGCATCCACAACAGTAGCGTGAGCTGCGGTCGAAACCGACGGTGAGGGTGGGTTACGTCCCCCTGGGTACCCTTGCGCCCGTGCCTCTTGTGTCCATCCTTGGCTACTGTCGATTGCCCGCCGCCCTTGAAAAGCTTCCACGCTGGCGTCCGAGGGGCTTGCGTCCTTATCGCGCATCTTTAGTATCAGTCTTGACTGCGTTTGGCAATCGATGTGAAAGCGCCGATCCAGCACCGATCTGGCGCCGACTTGGCGCCGACTCGCAAGAGCCAGCAAATCGGCATGGGCGGTTCCCATGAGTTATCACCGAAGGCGCATGAGGAGGAGAAGGAGGTTGTCCACTGCGTTCGGCAGGAAGGAACAAAAACATGCAGACACAAATAATCGTCGATCCCCAGGAAAAGATGGGAAGCTACGGGAAGTGGGCGGGACGACGAAACTCCAGAATATAGGAAAGGTTACATTTGGCATCCTGGGATTTGTGTCTATTCATTTGTGTGTCCTGTGCCTCCTTCACTTCGGCACCGGTCGGCCAGAGAGGGCGAGCATCGCGCGGCTCTAGCGCTTGAGTGGGCTTGCGGGACGCACCACGCTCAGGGCGGGCCTCCCCCCGAGGCCTCCCGCAGAGGGGGCCCAAGCGGAGTGGGTTGGAGGATCGCGCCGCGTCGACGGTGCTTTTTTCGGGCCAAGGGACCCTCGCAGCTCGATCTGGCTTGAAAAATTGTGCAGAGAGGTTGTATCTTGGGCTTTGGTCGTCATGTTTTGCGATGCTCCAGTTTTTTGCAGCGTCGGATCTCAGGGCTGGGCCAGGCTGCCCCCAGCTTTGGGGCCCTCTGGGCCTCGTGGCGGGCTCTCCGAAGGCCGCGGGGGCCTCCCGTCGGGCCAGGGGCACTTCGGGCGCACCCGAAGAGCGTGTCAGCGGCTCTAGGCGTGATAGGAGGAGGAGGAGGAGGAGGAGGAGGAGGAGGAGGAGGAGGAGGAGGAGGAGGAGGAGGAGGAGGAGGAGGAGGAGGAGGAGGGAGGAGGAGGAGGAGGAGGAGGAGGAGGAGGAGGAGGAGGAGGAGGAGGAGGAGGAGGAGGAGGAGGGAGGAGGAGGAGGAGGAGGAGGCGGAGGAGGAGGAGGAGGAGGAGGAGGAGGAGGAGGAGGAGGAGGAGGAGGAGGAGGAGGAGGAGGAGGAGGAGGAGGAGGAGGAGGAGGAGGAGGAGGAGGAGGAGGGAGGAGGAGGAGGAGGAGGAGGAGGAGGAGGAGGAGAGGAGAGAGGAGGGAGGAGGAGGAGGAGGAGGAGGAGGAGGAGGAGGAGGAGGAGGAGGAGGAGGAGGAGGAGGAGGATGAGGAGGAGGGAGGAGAGGAGGAGGAGGAGGAGGAGGAGGAGAGGAGGAGGAGGAGGGGGAGGGAGGGAGGGAGGGAGGCGGGAGGGAGGGAGGGAGGGAGGGAGGAGGGAGGGAGGGAGGGAGGGAGGGAGGGAGGAGGGAGGGAGGGAGAGGAGGAGGAGGAGGAGGAGGAGAGGAGGAGAGGAAGGAGGAGAGGGAGGAGGGGAGGGGGAGGAGGAGGAGAGGGAGGAGGGAGGAGGGAGGAGGGAGGAGGGAGGGGGAGGGGGAGGAGGAGGAGGGAGGAGGAGGAGGAGGGAGGAGGGAGGAGGAGGAGGAGGAGGGAGGAGGGAGGAGGGAGGAGGGAGGGAGGAGGAGGAGGAGGGAGGAGGGAGGGAGGAGGAGGAGGAGGAGGGGAGGAGGAGGAGGAGGGGGAGGCGGAGGAGGCTCCACACGAGTCAGCGGCTCCAGGCGTGATCCTTCACGATGTTGCAATTCTTGTCGCCACGTCGGATCTCAGGGACGGCCCAGGGACTTCCGAGCCGTCAGAGAGGGCCTGCCCCCTCTCACTTCCCCCCAGGCGCGCCGCCAAGAGGGGGGTCTGCGGGAGGAGGATGAGGAGGAGGAGGAGGAGGAGGAGGAGGAGGAGGAAAAGAGGAGGAGGGGGATAGGAGGAGGAGGAGGAGGAGGAGGAGGAGGAGGAGGAGGAGAAAGAGAACTATCACACCCCTCGTCACTTTTGTCAGTTTAGCTGTACAAATATGCTCGTGCCCCGACCACAGGTCGCGAGGCAACTTAGTTTGATCATACCCCCCGGTGCCGACTGGCCTTGGAGGGGTGGGGGGGGCGATGACCACGTCAGGATGACGTGCCAGCCGAGAGAGACAAATAGTTATAGAGAGAGATAGGGAGAGAGTGGAGGAGGAGGAGGAGGAGGAGGAGGAGGACGAGGACGAGGACGAGGAGGACGAGGAGGACGAGGAATAGGAACAGCAGGAGGAGGGGGAGGAGGAGGAGGAGGAGGAGGAAGAGGGAGAGGAGAAACAGGACGAGGTGGGCAGGAGGAGGACGAGCAGGAGGAGGAGGAGGAGGACGAGCAGGAGGAGGAGGACGAGGCAGGCTGACGTGGTGGAGGAGGGAATGCGAGGAGAAGGACGGAGCAGTGGGAGGAGGATGGAGAAGGCGGGAGGGGACACGAGGCGGAGGAGGTGCGGTAAAGGGGGGGGTGCAGCAGCAGCTCTGTCGGCAGCAGCGGGAGCGTCGGCGGCAGAGCGAGGGCACCAGATGCAGCAGCAGCAGCAGCAGCAGCAGCAGGAGCAGCAGCAGCAGCAGCAGCAGCAGCAGCAGCAGCAGCAGGAGCAGCAGCAGCAGCAGCAGCAGCAGCAGCAGCAGCAGCAGCAGCAGCAGCAGCAGCAGCAGCAGCAGCAGCAGCAGCAGCAGCAGCAGACAGCAGACAACAGACAGCAGACAGCAGACAACAGACAGCAGACAGCAGACAGCAGACAGCAGACAGCAGACAGCAGACAGCAGCAGCTGGAGGCGGGCGGTGCACGCTTGAGACACGGGCAGGGGTCGGGGCGGTGCCAGCCGCGCTGCAGACGCGGAAATATTCCGAGATGCCTTTTCTCAGGGCCAGGCAAGCGGGGGGAGATCACAGCACGCGGGGGCCGTGTCCGCGCTCTCCTGCTCCAGGGGTGGACCCGATCGGTGTTCCGGCGATTTCGTGGGCCGTCTTCGCTTCGACCTCGTTCTGCCTTTTTTGTAGCAGCAGCGGGTTGAAGACAGAACGAGGGAGTGCGAACACAACACGAACACGAACACACGCTGCTCAGGTCGAGCCCTGTCCTGCTCCACCTCGTCCTCCCACGTCTCGTCTTCCTGCTCCTCTTCCCCCGGTGTGGCCCTGGGCCCGCCCCCGACCCCCCCCCCCTCCGGCTCCCTTGACCAGGCTTGAAGGCCTCTCGATTACCGTGTCGCTCAGCATTTGCCTCATTTGCAGTCAACCCGCATAGTGAGGATGGGCAACCTTCCCAAGGGTACCCTTGCATCCTTGCCTCCTGGGTCCATCCTTCGCCGCTTTCGTTGGCCGCGCCCCGCTCGAAAAGCTTCGACGCGGCCTTCCAAGGCCCTTGCATCCTTATCGCGCATCCTTACCATATCACCACCCACCAAACCACCCCAACCCAACCCGAAGGCTTCAATTTGCCCTCCATTTCCGGTTGGGGGGGGTCGGGGAACGTTGAAAAAACACATGGAACCCGTACCCCCCCCAACCCGAAATTCGGGTCAAATTCGGGTCTTCGGGTTGGGTTGGGGTGGTCTGGTAGGTAGTCACCATACTGGTTGACTGTACCTTCCCTCCCCCTGGCGTGATCCATCGGGGGCCTGTCGCCGATCAACCGGCGATGTACTGCCGACCTCAGCTCGGCGTTCCCTCCCCGCCCCCCCTCCGAGGCGGCAGGCAGGACCCTGGGACCTTAAGCCCTTGGCATCGCTCGAACGTGTGCATTTTTTCTCGGCGAGGGGCATTCTGCTCACATTGGGAGATAAGAGAACGCGCGCGAAACCGAAAAGTGCACAGGGAACAGACGTCCGAGCGATGGCGAGAGCCTCCTGGGGAATAGGTCGAACCCCCAGGGGTTTCTGGAGAGTAGAGCTGTAGGCTCTGGGCAGGACCCTGGGGCCCGCGATGCTGGAGGGCAGGACGCCGACCGCCTCCTGGACAAGCAGAGCCTCGGGGTGCCCTAAGCCCGAGACCTCCTGGGAGCAGGGCCCGTCGGGTCCCGGCAGGCCCGCTGCCCCTCCCCTCCTGCCTCCTCCCCCGCCGTGAATCGGGGGCGGAAAAGAGGGGGGTGAGGACTAGGGGGGGGTGGATATCATGGCGTGGGCCATGATATTTCCCCAGATTTCATGGCGCCCCTTCTTACTTCATTACGTAAGTGGCCCCCCCGCTGGGCCGCGCACATGCCGCCGGTCATGATTTGCACCCCCCCCTCTTGGACACCCCCCTCTTGGCCGCTCCCGATCCTCCCCCGCCGTGAATCGCGGCGTGACCAGACGAGGGTTCGGTCGGGCACGCCCCCCCCTACAGGCAGATTTTGGGTGGAGAATGAAAAGATGCCCCAGAAGTGCCCCCCAAAGATCCAGAAATGGTACAACACATCGTCCCCACTGTATCCGTAAGGGCTTCGCCCCCTGCCGCCGGCCCCCTCTCTCGGAGAATGGGCCATGGAAGAGCTAAGTCATGAGGCCTTGGCGCTGTCGTGAAGCAGTATCGAAACTTCATGCGAAGCCGAGTCGCAATCAGCAAAACCAACTGATCACAAGAGGGGTTACCACACCTGGCGATTGGTAAGACGTGTATGGTTTAAGGGCTTGGTTACCACACCTTGCGATTAAAGGGCCGAGGGAGTTCTCGCAGTTTGGGTTACCACGCCTTGCGATGGATGTGCGTGATGGGTTCGAATTTCAGAAATGTGGCAAATCCCCTGTGTTTTTGGACCCTGACCCCGCGGATCTGCGTGAGGGGTGGCACCGAATTTCAGAAATGTGGCAAATCCCATGTGTTTTTGGACCCTGACCCCGCGGATCTGCGTGAGGGGTGGCACCGAATTTCAGAAATGTGGCAAATCCCATGTGTTTTTGGACCCTGACCCCGCGGATCTGCGTGAGGGGTGGCACCGAATTTCAGAAATGTGGCAAATCCCATGTGTTTTTGGACCCTGACCCCGCGGATCTGCGTGAGGGGTGGCACCGAATTTCAGAAATGTGGCAAATCCCCTGTGTTTTTGGACCCTGACCCCGCGGATCTGCGTGAGGGGTGGCACCGAATTTCAGAAATGTGGCAAATCCCATGTGTTTTTGGACCCTGACCCCGCGGATCTGCGTGAGGGGTGGCACCGAATTTCAGAAATGTGGCAAATCCCTTGTGTTTTTGGACCCTGACCCCGCGGATCTGCGTGAGGGGTGGCACCGAATTTCAGACATGTAGCAAATCCCGTGTTTTTTTGACCCCGCGGATCTGCGTGAGGGGTGGCACCGAATTTCAGAAATGTGGCAAATCCCATGTGTTTTTGGACCCTGACCCCGCGGATCTGCGTGAGGGGTGGCACCGAATTTCAGAAATGTGGCAAATCCCATGTGTTTTTGGACCCTGACCCCGCGGATCTGCGTGAGGGGTGGCACCGAATTTCAGAAATGTGGCAAATCCCATGTGTTTTTGGACCCTGACCCCGCGGATCTGCGTGAGGGGTGGCACCGAATTTCAGAAATGTGGCAAATCCCCTGTGTTTTTGGACCCTGACCCCGCGGATCTGCGTGAGGGGTGGCACCGAATTTCAGAAATGTGGCAAATCCCCTGTGTTTTTGGACCCTGACCCCGCGGATCTGCGTGAGGGGTGGCACCGAATTTCAGAAATGTGGCAAATCCCCTGTGTTTTTGGACCCTGACCCCGCGGATCTGCGTGAGGGGTGGCACCGAATTGCAGAAATGTGGCAAATCCCGTGTGTTTTTGGACCCTGACCCCGCGGATCTGCGTGAGGGGTGGCACCGAATTGCAGAAATGTGGCAAATCCCTGTGTTTTTGGACCCTGACCCCGCGGATCTGCGTGAGGGGTGTCGATTTCGAGCCCCCCCAGCAATTCAGACAACGCGCCCAGGAGACGCTAAAAATTTTGTTTGGGCCTCCCCCCCCCTCGCGCGGTCAATCAACTAGTTACAGTAACCAGCAAGAAGCAGAATTGTAACACTGGAAACTACAAGCTACAACTGGTACAGGAAACTGCGAATCACGGGCCTACAGCCTGGTGGCCCCACAAGGGGGCCGGCTGATTTTTTACTATTTTTGAACATTCCCCCTGTAGAGGGACAGGCCCGACTTAAGACGAGAGGGGGGGGAGTTATCGCGAATGATCAAAATTTGGCATCGCTCGGACGTGCGCATGCTTCTCGGCGAGAACCATCAAGAGGCATCCTGTAGCATCTTGCCCCTCCCCCCCAGCAGCAAAAAAAGCACGCGCGAAATCAAACGATGCACGGAAAATTGACGTCCGAGCGCTGGCTAGAAAAGCTGTCTCTTGTCGGGAACGTTTGTCCGCATATCAAGTTGACAACGGGTTCCGGACTGGACAGGCGCGTCGATGCTTCCGGTTCCAGTGAGTGGCTCGGTATTCGTTGTTTCGGGCAGCAGATTCCCAATCCCTACCTTAATGAGATCCGTGCCTCGCTCGAACTTCCCCATGCTCATCCAAACTCCCCCGGTGACCGCCCCACTTCCGCATGCCCCCGCGCCCGCGCGCAGGCTCCCCCGGTGAGGGCGTCCGAACTTGATGGGCAGCGGATCTCACCAGCCCGTGCCTTCCCCCCCCCCCGTGTGCTGCTCCGCCCCCCCCCACCCCCTCTCAGGCACTCCTACAGGCCCTCCCCGCCTGCAGGCGCACCAAAAAGGCCCTCCATGCCATCCGCTCTCCCAGAAGGTCAGCGCCCTACGGGCGCTGCCCGCGGGGCCCTCCTGGCTACGAAGGCCCGTAGGGCCTGCAGGTCGGGGGCGCTCGCAGAAGGGAGGAGCGCCGCGTATAAACGGGAACCAGCCCAATGCGGGTCAGTGGGAGGCTAAGGCGTCCCATAAGAAGAACCCCATCTCAGGACATGGGAAACAGAAGGAGGAGGAGGAGGAGGAGGAGGAGGAGGAGGACGAGGACGAGCACGAGGAGGACGAGGAGGAGCAGAGGAGGAGGAGGAGGAGGAGGAGGAGGAGGAGACCTCCCTCCCAACGAGCACAGCCGAGAGAGACAGGTAGTCAGAGAGAGAGAGAGAGAGGAGGAGGAGGAGGAGGAGGAGGAGGGGAGGAGGAGGAGGGGAGGAGGAGGAGGAGGAGGAGGAGGACGAGGACGAGGACGAGGACGACGAGGGAGGAGGAGGAGGAGGAGGAGGAGGAGCAGGAGGGAGGAGGAGGAGGGGCCAATGGGGGTGTGCTGCTCCCTCTGCCCCCCCCCCCCCCCCCCCCGCTTCCCCCCCGACTGCCCAGCCCTGGCTCTCGCGGGGCCGAGGCGACCGGCCGCCGAGCAGTCGCGGTGTGCTGGGCCCGGGCGCCTGTAGCCCTCGGCCTCGGCAGCCTCGCGAGCTCCGCGGCCATCGCACCCTCCTCCCTCTCCCAGCCCTCCTCCTCCTCCCTCCTCCTCCTCCTCCTCTCTCCTCCTCCCCCCCCTCTCCTCCTCCTCCTCCTCCTCCTCCTCCTCCTCCTCCCTCCTCCCTCCTCCTCCTCCTCCTCCTCCTCCTCCTCCTCCTCCTTCTCCTCCTCCTCCTCCTCCTGAGCCTCGGAGGCGGCCCGGACCCCATCGAGTCATGAAGAAATCACGACGGGAGGTGGTTCGCTATTTTCTTTCTCTGGAGCCTCTGCCGGGCCTCCGGAGAACAAAACGGCCCTGAATGAAAAAATAGTCGTGGGGGATGGGTCGACACCTTTGGGGGTCGGCGTCGCGAAAAAATCATGACGCCGGGGTCTGGGCGAAAGGGTACCCCTAGCGCGAGCCTCACACCGTTTCTCCCATTCTTGAAGGCCTCCTGGGAGGCCCCCGTCGCCACCGCTGGATTCGCCTCGAGATCGTGGTCAGAACGCATCCCGGGAGAGGTGCGGGGAACGGCGGCATCGGTACCGCTTGGGTTTCCCGGACATCCCCATCCCTATGCGAGGCGTTCCAGACTGGGCCTCGCTCTCGAAGGCCGAAGGAGCGGTCTCTCTCTCTCTCTCTCTCTTCCTCGGTGGAGGGTCCGCGGAAGGCGGCAAATGTAGAGCGAGGCTATTGCCGCCGGCGGGAGGCCAGCGGACGTATGCGGAAGTGAAAGATGTTCCCTCAAGAGTTAATTCGGGCCTGTCCCACTACAGGAGGAATAGTAAAAAAATGGTCGGTGCGTTTTCCGTATGTTTGAGCACGTTTTAGATTTAGTTTGACTATGTGTTATTCCCACCCCTTCTTGGCTGGGTATTCGTTTTGAATATAGCACTGCTCGCGCGTCCTTCCTTCCTTCCTTCCTTCCTCCCGCCTCCTGCCTCCCGCCTCCTGTCTCCCGCGAGACCTCGCCGTCCCTGGGCGGGGGGCTGCGATCTGCGAAACTGTCGCCACTTTCGAGAGCTGCTGGTGGGTCCAGCGGAGTGAGGCACCGCGCAGACCTGAGCGAGACCTCGCTGTCCCTGGGGGGCTGCGATCTGCGAAGCTGTCGCCACTTTCGAGTGCTGCTGGCGGGCTCGCCACTTTCGAAGGCTGCTGGTGGGTCCAGCGGAGTGAGGCACTGCGCGGACCTGAGCGAGACATCGCCGTCCTTGGGGGGCCATGTCATGTTGTTGCTGCCCCGCCGACGCTTCAAGTTCCTTGCCCAGTCTCATGTTTGGACCTTGCGTCTTCCTTAGTGACTCAGGGGTTCACTTAGTTACTCATCGTTGTTCCCTTGATTGGGGATCTGCGAACCTTCCGAATGCCGCTCGCCGAAGTGTATGCATCCATGTCACGTCGCCGCCTTCTCGCCAAATCTCCCAAGCTACTCGTGCCCCGTTTTGCGCAGGGGTTGGGTACGTCGTCGGGGTAATTGTTCATCCAAAATCCTCCTGTAGGGGGGACAGGCCCCGACCTAACCCAAGAGGTGGCAACGTGTTTGGGCTCAGGGTTTCCAGAACCCGCCACGCGGCATCACCTACTCTCGATACCGATCTCCAGGGGTTCCTCAGTGTCTGAGGGGCGCATCCCTGAGACTGGCATCGCCCTTTGGTCTTGTCAAGCCTGCGGATGGGGGTGGGCTCCAGGCTGTCTGCCGTCGCTCTGCAGTTGCGGCGACCAGGGGGAGGGGGGGGCTCGTCGGGGCAGCCTCCACCCCTTGTTCCCCCTCTCCTCCTCCTCCTCCTCCTCCTCCTCCTCCTCCTCCTCCTCCTCCTCCTCCTCCTCCTCCTCCTCCTCCTCCTCCTCCACCTCCACCTCCCTCTCCCTTTCCCCCTGCCCCTCCCTCTCCCTCCCCTTCCTCGCCTCGCCTTCCCTGCCCTCCCCTCGCCTTCTCTCTCTCTCTCTCTCTCTCTCTGCGCCCCGAGTCGTCAGGGCTGGTGGCAGCAAGGGGTAACTTTACGTCGGGCCTCTCCCTCTTCAGGAGGGATATTCAAAAATAGTCCAAAAATAGTATGGGAGCGATTTGTTTGACCATTTTTGGTCACTTGGGGGGTATTTTTTGCGTAGTTTTTAGTTTTCGCCCAGAATCCCCCTTTAGGGGGACGGGCCCGACTTACGGGTAACTACAGATTCGCCCATCGGGGGCGCATGAGCCCGTCCTCTGCAGCGGGGATGGTCGGGCCTCGCGCTGCCGCTGCGCCGTCGCTGCGGCACTGCTGGGCTCTTGCCTGGCCGAAGGTGGTGGGCAGGCCCGCGGCGGTCTGTCTTTTGCGGCGACGGCGTATGGGATCGCGCCACGAGGTCGGCGGAGAGGGCCTTGCTTCAGCTGGTGGTGGGCAGGCGTTTCTGTAACCACCGGCCGATGCATGTCTTTAGTAGCGAAGGTGTGCGCGTTTCATGCAGGTGCGCGGCACGAGGCCGGTGGAGCAGGCCCCGCTTGAGGAGTCCGCTGCGTGGTGCTGGGCGTCCGGCGTGGAGAGATGCCGCTCGGTTCAGTATAGTTTTACCCTAGCACGCGTGCAACGCCCTCGCGACTGGTGGAGGTACGTACTCGAACTCGCGCAGCAGCGCCGCCGTCACGTCCAGCCATTGTTCTCTCCGCCACAGCTTGGATCCCCACGGGAAACAGTAAGATCTGGAGTAAATTGTGGCCCTTGGCTTTCGCAGAATTGGCCCCGCAGTAATATTCTGCGGTCGGAAGCGTTTCGATGCCACGAGCTCCAGTATGTCCCTGAGTGCCGCAGGGGCGTAATCGGTGACATCGCGTGGAAGAACATCAGACGTGCGATCTGAAATGATCAGAACTGCGGAATTGCGGCTGGTCACGGGGGTAGCGTCGTCGCGGTGCACGTGGTGTCGTACGTCGAGTGGTGCAGTTCGGTGGAATGTGAGTTTATCCCAGCTTCTCTGCAGTAGCCCATCGTGTGCGTCGTGTCGGAACTTTTTGCTTCTCGTTTCGATAAGGTTTGTCCACATCTCGCGTTGACCATCGAGTCACGACTGGACTGGCGCGTCGATGCACTCAGTTCCAGAAAACGGTTCGGTATGCGCACGCTCGGGCAGAATGCTTTCAACCCATACGCAGGACTGCTTGTAGTGTTGACGGCGTCTTGCGGGTGTAGGCCCGCGCAGATCGCCGCAGCTTGCTATCAGAGCCGTGTGCTGGCAGTGCCTGGGCAGGCATGCTTTTGGCCGCCCCACTTTTGCGACCTCGCTCTCGCACGGACTGGCTGTGGAAGCACGTGCCCCGCCTCTCGGGCGGGTGGTAATAGGGGGTGGCTTACATGGGCCTTGTTCTTCACCCCCGCTTAAGTCCCCCCCCATTACCACACCCACCTGGTCCTCTCTCCTTCCTCCGCTCTGCCTCTCTGTCTCCTCGTCCCTCCCTCCCTGCTGCTGACTCCTCTGCCCTCCTGCTTGCTCCCCTCCCCCCCAGAGCTTTGCGAGCGCCGCCTCCCGCAGAGGAGGAGGCCGCCCTCGTCCGACGGTCTTCTTGCTGCCCGAGGCTGAACAGAAAGCAGCGAGCAAGCGCAGGCGAGAGGAGGGATGAGGAGGAGGAAGAGGAGGAAGAGGAGGAAGAGGAGGAAGAGGAGGAAGAGGAGGAAGAGGAGGAAGAGGAGGAAGAGGAGGAAGAGGAGGAGGAGGAGGAGGAGGAGGAGGAAGAGGAGGAGGAGGAGTAGGAGGAGGATACGGAGGAGGGGGAGGGGGATGAGGAGGAGGAGACGGAGGAGGAGGAGGAGGGGAGGAGGAGGAGGAGGAGGAGGAGGAGGAGGAGGGAGGGTTGGAGGACGAGGACGAGGGAGGAGGAGGAGGAAGAAGAGGAGGAGGAGGAGGAAGAGGAGGACGAGGGGGACGAGGACGAGGAGGAGGTGGAGGAGTTAGGAGGAGGAGGAGGAGGAGCACTCAAAAGGATCGCATCCTCGGTGCGAACACATCGTACTCATATATCCTTCAAATAGTTGGGACAATTCCTCACCTGCGCATGGACCGCGAACCGAACCAGCCAGTCGCCGAAAAGCAGTTCGACAACCCGACGGGCGCCACCAACCATATATATATATATATATATATATATATATATATACACACACACATCGTCATCGAGGTACCCCTCACGTCCGGGCCACCCCGCTACTGGTCCGCAGACGCCAGAGCCAGCCACGGCAACAGCGAGGCCTTCTTGCTGCCGCCCTTCGTCCCGGCGTGTGGTTATGGCGCCTGCTACGCCACGACCCCCCACGACCGTCTGCCCCGCTACCCCCGCGACGGCCCCCACGACCCCGCGCCGTATCCGACGGCCCCTGCGACTCTCTGCCCAACGGCCCTCGCGACGGCCGCACCCCGAGAGGCCGCATGCCTTGCGCGGGAGCCCGTGGAGGGCATCCTCGGGGAAGCGGCCATAGGGCCGTTGGCCAGTCCATAGCTGGCGCCGCCTGCCCCGCGGCGGGCTCGGCATCCCGAGTGGCCGCGTGCCCTGAGAGGGAGCCCGCGGTGGGCATACCTGGGGAAGCGGCCATAGGCATAGGCAAGGAGAAGCCACCCCCTGGACCCCCCCACCCGACCCACCACCACGAGGGTTCCCACGACCCACCACCGCGACGGCCTGCCCCCTCTCCCGCCGACGACCCCCGCGACGGCCCCCAGGACGACCCCCACGACGGCCCCCGCGACCCCTCACCCGACGGCCCCGACGGCGGCAGCACCCCGAGTGGCCGCATGCCTTGCGAGGGAGCCCGCGGGGGCCATTCCTGGGGAAGCGGCCACAGTGGCCGCTGGCCAGGCCAAAGCTGGCGCCCCCTGCTCTGCGGCGGGCTCGGGATCCCGAGTGGCCGCATGCCTTGAGGGGAGGCCCGCGGGGGGCATTCCCAGGGAAGCGGCTTATTGGGACAGCCGAAGCCACCCCCTGAAACCCCTCACCCGACTCACCACGACGGCTCTCGCGACCCACCACCACGACGGTTTCCCACGACGTCCTCCCCGCACGCCTGCCCCCACCCCCCACGACGACCCCGCGACGGCCGCGCCCCGAGTGGCCGCATGCCCTGAGAGGGAGCCCAGGCGGTGCCTACCTTGGGAAGCGGCCATTAGGAGCGGCCAGCCGGCCCGCAGCCTGCGCCGCTGGCCCCCCGGCAGGACCCCGAGTGGCCGCATGTCTTGAGAGGGAGCCCGCAGGGGGCATACACAGGGAAGCCGCAGGGACAGCTGGGCAACCCCAAGACGCCCCCGCGACGGCCCCCACAACGGCCCCCGCGACGACCCCCACGACGACCCCCGTTCCCCCTCCTGTAGATGGGTGCTGTGAGGGCCGCCGCGGGGTCGCGGGGCAGGGGGGCGTCGGTTCGGTGGTCCTGTCGTCCGCCCAGCAGCCCCTGGAAGGAAGCGCTGCCCGCGTAGCCGAGGGAGGCCGTCGCCGGGTTCGTCGCGTGGGCCGTCGTCGGGGCGGCCGCGGGGGGCCGTCGCAGGGGCCGTCGCGCAGTGGGCGTCGTAGGGGTTCGTCGTCGTGGAGGGTCGCGGAGGCTTTGGGTCAAGGGCAGAAAAAACGCCCCTGCCCTGGTTTACGAGGCGCTGTGCTCTGAACCTCCTGTGGGCTGACAGGGTAAACCCTGCGTGATGTGCCGCGTCCTGGCGGCTCTGGGCTTTGGGGGTTCCCAGGAGGTTTACAAACAAACCACGCACTTGTAATCCAGGGTAGGGTCGTTTTTTCATCCCTCAATTGGGGTTGCGTGGGAGGTCGCGGGGCCGTTGTGAGGGCCGACGCCCTCCACGACGGCCCGCGGGCGACGACTTCCGCGACGGCGACTCTCACGACAGGCCCCCGCGGCGACCCCCGCCACGGCGACGGCCACGGCGGGCACGAAGACAGCCGCGGCTACCACGACAGCCCACGCGCCCCCCCCCCGCAACGACCCTCGCGACGGCCTCCCCGACAGCCCGCGCGACAGCCTCGCGGTCCCCCTGCGAGCACAACTGCGAAGACAGCGTTGCCTCGCCAGGGGAGACGAGCCCCAAGGAGGACGAGGACGCCACCTCGAACGACTCCGACACGTCGAGGCCACTCTTCGCCGCCTGGCGACAGGGGCGGCGACACTGCTACTGGAGATGACCATCTCCCCCCCGCGCAGTCACAGGCCGCGCCACGACCCCGCGTGGTGAGCCGCCATGTTTGTGGATCAGTGGCTGGAGGCTTGGGGGCCGTGAGCCACCCTGCCCACCAACCGATCTTCCTCTTCCTTTTGGCTGCTCGCTTGCCCCTTGCCGGCCCGCCCACTCCTCGCCCCCCACTCGCCTGCTCCTGCTCTCTTCCGGCGGCGGGCACGTCTGGGCGGTTTTTTTTGGAGGATGGGAGGGAACTCTCGCGGACGGCAGCCCTGGCTGGGACCGGAGAGGCCTCGGCCCACCGCCATATCCCGCCGCAGCAGCGCACAGGTAGTGCTAAACCCGGAGACAAGCACGACAAGCACGGCAACGGGACGGAGGTTGAGGATGAACCGCCAAATATTTGGGCTTAGGTTGTTCTCATCGTACTTAAGGACCACATCCCAGAAATAATTCTTCACGCTTCGCGTATCCCCACCAGCCCATCTCCAAACAGCAACTCTTGCGAAGCATGCCGACAGTCGTGTTTTTCAGGCGTGTTTCCGCATGCCCCCGCATATCTCCCCTGTTCCTCCTTCCTCCCGCCTCCTTGTACATCCTCCTTGTGGGAGCGGGAGAAGGACGAGGCGGAGGAGGAGGGAGAGAAAGTGCTCCTCGTGGTTTGAGTCGTTTGGGGTTTCTCGTCCTGGTGTGAGTCGTTCGGGCCCTTCTTCCTGGTGTGAGTCGTTCGGGCTCTTCGTGGTGTGAGTCGTTCGGGCTCTTCGTCCTGGTGTGAGTCGTTCGGGCTTCTCGTGGTGTGAGTTGTTCGGGCCCCTCGTCCTGGTGTGAGTCGTTCGGGCCCCTCCTCCTGGTGTGACTCGTTCGGGCTCCTCGTGGTGTGAGTCGTTCGGGGCCCTCGTCGTGGTGTGAGTCGGAGGCCTTTTGGGGCGTCTTGGGGGCCTCTTGGCGGCCCCAGGGGCTTCTAGGAGCGTCTTGGGTTCCTTGGGGGAGCCTCTTCGGGCTTCTTGGGAGCCTCTTGGAGGCCGTTTGGGGCGTCTTGGGGGCCTCTCGGCGGCCCCAGGGGCTTCCAGGAGCGTCTTGGGTGCCTCGGGGGAGCCTCTTGGGGCCTCTTGGGAGCCTCTTGGGGGCATCTTGGGGGCCTCTTGGAGGCCTCTTGGGGCCTCTTGGGGCTCTTTGGGAGGGGTCTGGGAGGTATCTTGGGGCCATCTTTCGGGCGATCGATCACAGATGGGGCGGGTTTTTTCTCCCCTCCCCGTCGGGGCCAGAATCCTCGTGAGGGGTGTCGTTTTTTAGCCCTCCCAGGAGTCGACAAAGACCCCTCCAACCACCCGCGAAAGGACCTCTCCAGGTCCAGGGGTAGGGGGTAGGGGGAGGGGTAAACCCCTCCCCGAAGGG